CTATAGTTCCAGGCCAAGATATATGAGTGGGAAATAGCGAATCCGAGGCACAATAAAATTGCATGGATAACGAATAAAACTACAGCCGTCCACAGCATTACCAATGTAATAGGAGCAGTTCAAGGTATTAATGCAGAAAAAGTATCAAGCTAAACCTGAGCGTAGCATTTAACAGACTGACAACCACAAACCAAATACAATTAAACTATGTGAAAATCCATACTGAAATGGAAAAGAAAGAACAGTTGACATATGAGAAAAAGCGTAACCAGCTACAGTTTTACCATCCATTAGGAGAGATAAATGTTCAAGATCACATCACTTTTCTGGCCATTCAATAGAAATCAGTCTGACTACTATTTCTGTCACATAGATACCCTATAATGGCTAAAGAATATCTTAGAAAGTCACATAAATATATTTAATGCATTTAAAAGAAGAAAATATGACAAGATATGCAAATTCTATATGCCATCACCTTTTGACAATACATAACAAGATATATTCCAAAAGTTGAGATATTTACCTGCATGCCAGAATCAAATCTGCCCTTTGGTCACGACCAACATACTTATATTCAGCCAAAGCACCACACACAACATCTAAGAATATTTGTCGTGAAACAACAACAGTAGTACGTCTCTTGTACATCTCAAATGGTTTACTTTTATTCTTATCAACATCATCAGCAACCAAACAGTTAATATCTTCGACACAAGTTGAACCGCCACCTTCCTTTAACTGTTCAGGTTCCTTCCCATGTTCTGGTGATGAATTACAAGATCCCTCACTTCTAATCAACTCAAAAACCCTGCGGCTGATCTGCCAACAGAGAACAAAAGAGAGAGAAACAGATTATCAGAAATATATCAAAGAATAAAAACTCGTCCCTAGACCAAAAAGAAAAAATGGCTGCAGGGCATAAAGATGGCCAAAAAATTGGTTGTATATCACATGGGCAACCAAAATATAACTATCAAAGATATAAAACAAAACTGAACGGAAACCACTCCAATCTTGAATTTACTATGGGTTTAAGGAAATCCTTGTCCTTACCATATACTCAATAGATTGTGATAGACACTGAAAAAGAAGTGCAATAATTGTTAAGAGGAAATCCTAAAGCAGCAAGCAAGCTCAATAGTAAACAAATTTTCCAAAGTAGAGATAGTTAACAGACCCAGGCAAGAATATACATGAAAGCACGAGACACTAGGAGTCTATGTAAGATCATGCTAAGTCCTTTCTAAATCCATCACATCTTTGATCCAAACCTCAATTCTAAGAGATACAGACAAGTCAACTAGATTCACAATCTTCATAACATTTTTCTAGCAAAACAATTTCAGATAAAAACAGAGAAACAATGAAAAACACCAAGAGACAACAATAAACTGAAAAAATTCGACATTGTAAGGGAGACTAAATAATTAAGGCATAATCGCGAGCACCTTGAAGGCGTGACGCGCTTTGCAACCCATGAGCTGAAGAGTACTCTGCAAAACAGGACGCGTATACCGAAACGAATCCTCCCCATTACCGTCTCCTTTAGCCACCGCACCAGTGTCGTCGACCACCACCAAGTACAGAACCTTCGTCGCCTCCGCCATCTCTGCAATCAATCAACAGAAGGAAAAAAACGAACAAACTAGAATGAATCTCAATGACAAAAATCAAAACAATTTTGAATTTTTTCAGAAACAAATCAAGAGGGAAAATCGGGAATGCAGGAAAGGTAGAAGAGAACCATCGCTTACCTGCCGGAGAAAATTGGTTTTTATCCAGATCGGAGAAAGAGAGAGAGAAAATTAGGGTTTATAAATGAGGATCGTGATGGGTTTCTTCGT